GTGATTGGCTCAGCACCTGTGGCTCAATTGGCTAAGGTGCCAGCCACATACACCTAAGGTGGCGGGTTCCAATCCAGCCAAGGCCCACCAAACAACAATGATGGCTGCAACCAAAAAACATAGCCAGATGTTGTGGCAGGTGCCTGTGGTCCCAGCTACTTGGGAGTCTGAGGCAGGAGACTCGCTTGAGCCCAGGAGTTGGAGGTTGCCGTGAGCTGTGATGCCATGGCACTCTACCCATAGGGACAGCTTGAGGCTCTGTCTCAAAAAAAAAAAAAAGTCGTGATTAATATCTTTTGGTGCTGCCCCTGATCTGTCAGTAGGATGTGCATTTAATAATAATAATGGAGGGGAGGAACACCCCACATTTATAAGAGGGACCCTGCCTGACAAATGCAACTAGTGTAATCTGGTTCTTTGTACCCTTGATGAATCCCCAACAATAAAAGTATACCAATGGCAACAATAAAAATAATAATACCAATGGAAAATGGATACTGACATGCACTATGGATGTACTGTGCACCAGACATTGTCCTAAACCCATCATGTACAAGTTCTGATCACTGTCCCATCACTTATTAACCTGAAGCTGGTAAGTGTGGCTCCAGATCAGAGGCTTTGGTCCTCCAGTGAAGAAGGAGAATAACTGCTTAACCTTCCTGATGGGAGTTCACCCAGCACCCCAGCACCCAAGGACATGTACAGTAGCCCACAGGGGAGGTGCTGTGTGCAGCCATGCCACAGAGCAGGGCCAGGGGCCTAAAGACCCTCATTTTCATCCTGGCTTTCACAGTTAGCAGCCACAGAAACCCCAGGAGAATCAGTTTCTCACAACTCTGGCCCAGTAAACACAAACCCCAGCCCCCAGGAAGGACCAGGCCACATACCCAGTACCCAGGGGTCACCCCATGAGGCAAAGGCCTCCATCTGAATGCAACCTGGGGTGGGTGGGGCTGTGGCCCAAGGAGTTCAGGGTATGATGTGCCCACACCACAACAGTGAATGCCACGCCGGGCGAGGGACAAAACTCCCAAAACATACCTGTCAGTCTTCCCGGAAAAGAGGAAGATGAAGTGCGGCACCTTGAGTTCTCAGGAAAGCTGTATCTTTTTTTAAAAAAAAAGTCACACCAGGGCGGAGCCCTTGGCTCAGTAGGTAGGGCGCCAGCCACATACACCGAGGCTGGCAGGTTCGACCCTGACCCGAGCCAGCTAAACCAATAATGACAACTGCAACCAAAAAATAGCCAGGTATTGTGGGCACCTGTAGTCCCAGCTACTTGGGAGTCTAAGGCAAGAGAATCGCTTAAGCCCAAGAGTTGGAGTTTGCTGTGAGCTGTGACGTCACAGCACTCTACTCATGGAGATACAGTGAGACTCTGTCTCAAAAAAAAATTAAAAAATAAAAAGTCACACCAGAGGGGCTGAGGGCTAGGGAGACATCTGTGAGAGGATACCAAACTACAGCTACTACACCCAGTTTCAAACAGTCAGAAGATAATGAGTGTTCAACACAAAGAAATGATAAATGTTTGAGATGATGAATGTACTAAGCACCCAGATCTGATCACTATATATGTTTGAAAACTCTGCGGTGTGCCCTCTGAATAGGAGAACCCCAAAAGTCACAATTTCTTTTTGGTAAACAGACTGACTCTGGTTGGCTTAGGATGTCATTCTTTCTCTCCCACTCACATTTCATCCCTGCCTGAAGTCAGCTAGCCAGAGGGCAGTGATCTTGGACTCCACTGCTTTGGCTGTCACAAACTTTTACCAAACGGAGCTCTGGCCTTAGGCCTCTTGCTCACAATGGATGTTATAATAAAAGATAGTACAACAACTGCTACTCTCCAGCTCATGGCAAGTCGTCCAGGACACCATGTTCTACATCTTGGTGTTCACTTTGTGAGAATTGCCAGGAGAAATCCGTCTGTCCCTCAGAATTAAGAGAGGTTGCCCTTTCCCTGAATAAACAAGATGATAAAATCTGAAGCATGCAGAGTTACACAAGCAGGGAGCTCCGAGCAGAACCTGCAGCCTATCTGATGCTAACCTCGGCCCTCACTCCTGTCTTTCCTTTGACTCGGTTCTATCACTGTTTTATCCTTCTGTAGTGAATGTATTTTTTCACACTAGTTCAAAAGCTTTGAGGAACATGGAAGAACATAAATAAATGTTCTTTTACTTAAAAACCAGACACTTGGCCATGTGGTGGCTGAAACCTGTAACCCTAGCACTCTGGGAGGCCGAGGCAGGTGGATAGCTCAAGTTTATGAGTTCAAGACCAGCCTGAGCAAAAGTGAGACCTGTCTCTACTAAAAATTTAAAAAACTGAGGCAGGAGGATCGCTTGAGCCCAAGAGTTGGAGGTTGCTGTGAGCTATGACACATTGGCACTCTACCCAGGGCAACAGCTTGAGACTCTTGTCTCAAAAAAAGAAAAAACAGACACATTTATATATCCTTTCATACCTTTTATAATTTTTCTTTTTTTTTTTTCTTTTTAGAAACAGAATCTCACTCTACCACCCTTGGTAGAATGTGGTGGCATCACAGCTCACAGCAACCTCCAACTCCTGGGCTCAAGTGATTCTCTTGCCTCAGTCTCTCAAGTAGCTGGGACTACAGGCACCCACCACAACACCCAGCTATTTTTTTGTTACAGTTTGGCCAGGGCCGGATTTGAACCCACCACCTTCGGTATATGGGGCCAGCACCCTCCCCACTGAGCCACAGGTACAGCCCTTATTCTTTTTGAGACAGAGTATGTTGCCCTCAGCAACCTCAAACTCTTGGACTTAAGCAATTCTCTTGCCTCACTGTCCCAAGTAGCTAGGACTACAGGTGCCTGCCATACAATTTTTCATAAGGTAAAAAATTTTAAGTGTATTTGTTCAGAAAAAAAGGCATCTTAACATTGAATTGTCTTACTAGCAGTTAGTTACAACTTGGCCGATTAAAAGCAAAATATCACCATTTCCAAGGGCGGATGGAGGAGTATGTGTCTAGAATATACTCCCTCACCTAGAACCTTATCTACAGGAATTCCTGCAATTGCAACACACCAACCTCCCCACACATTGTCTTTCGGCCTTTCTATAAAATTTTGGATTTGTCTTTAATTTATTCCTATTATTTTCCATAAAAAACTAAAAAGTCGGCTGGGTGTGGTAGCTCATGCCTGTAATCCTAGCACCCTGGGAAGCCAATGCAGGTGGATTATCCGAGCTCATGAGTTCGAGACCAGCCTGAGCCAGAGCGACACCTCATCTCTAAAAAAAATAGCCGGCCGTTGTGGTGAGCAGCACACAGGAGGCTGAGGCAAGAGAATCACTTGAGCCCAGGAGTTTGAGGTTGCTGTGAGCTTTGATGCCACAGCACTCTACCAAGGGTGAAAAAGTGAGACTTTGTCTCAAAAAAAACCCCAAAACAAACAAAAATTACTAAGTCTCTCTGATCGACCCAAATCATTAGGTGATTTGGAGGAAATAGAAAGAGAAAAAGCAATCACCACTAACCACATATAAAACCTTAATTTTCTCCTCAAGATACATTTTTAAAAATAATTTTAATAAAATACATGAAAGAACAAGATCATATGCAAATACATAACCACAGTGTTTTAAGCCCTTACCATGCTCAGAATAGAATGTATAGAGGACTAGGGTTGGAGAACAGGAGAAAAAGGCAACATCAGGAGATACTAGGGAGAGCTAGCTGGGACTGCCACATGTCCAAGCTAGAGGTTTCTCTGAAACATTTAGTTGGGTCTGACCTATGTGAGGAGCTAAGGGGGTGAAACTGAATATATGAGAAAGAGGAGCGAGACAGTACTCAGACACAAAGATGTCAGCACAGCGTGGCACAGGCCAAGGCTGAGAGGCACAGGGGAGGGACTCTGACTGCTGAACCAAGCAAGGACGACAGGACAGAGCCAAGGCCAGAGGAGGGCAGGCAGGGAGGCCGGAGGCTGGACTGGAGGAGAGGTAGTGGGAATCAGAAGAAAAGGAGGGATTTTAAAGAATGTGGGAGATAAAGCCAGTAGGGCTTGCTGTCTGATAGAGATCTGCAGTGTAAGAGAAGTGTTTGGGAGATGCCAACAAAGGGGGGCCACTAAGGACAGAGGGGAAGAGAGGCCGCAACTATCACAGAGGTTGGTAGGACAGCCCAGAAGGGCTGGGGAACGAGGGATGGGAAGCCAGACAGCCCAGCGTCAACCAGGTTTAAGGACGAGTCCTCTGGAGACAGCAAAGGGAGCAGGGCAGGGTCACTGACAACTTTTCCCAGAGCAGGTTAAATGGACTAGTGGGAGAACAGAAGCAGGAGGGGCTGCAAAGGGAAGAAGAAATGCAGGCCTGAGCTGGATGAAGAAATGCAGGCCTGAGCTGGATGAAGCATGGGCGGAAAGAAGCTGAGGGAGGCTGGGCAAGGGGAGATGAGTAGATGGAGATGCTTTTATGAAAAAGGAGAGACTTGTTTATAATGGAGTGGAAACACTTAGAGGGAAGGGGGCTGGAAGTGAAAGGAAGGTTCCAGAGCCCAGGTGGATAGCTGATGTGGAAGAGGAGAGGTCTGGGGTGGCATGAGGAACAGTAGGTAAGAGGAGGTCAGGGTTGGCTTGGGGTTCAGGGTGGAGAGCCAGGCAGGGCTGCAAGAGTGAGAGAGGATGCAGCAGCCATGGCCTGGAACGAACTCATGAGGTCAAGAGCAGGCAGGTTGGGCATGGGGACCTGACAGGGCTCCAGGGATAAACGGTTAAGGACAGATGGGGAGGCTCGGCGCCTGTAGCACAATGGTTACAGTGCCAGCCACGTACACCGAAGGTGGTGGGTTCAAACCACCTTCGAACATCTAAACAACCACAAGTGCAACAAAAAATAGCTGGGCGTTGTGGTGGGTACCTCTAGTCCCAGCTATGTGGAAGGCTGAGGCAAGAGAATCACTTCAGTCCAAGAGTTTGAGGTTGCTGTGAGCTGTGATGCCGCGGCACTCTGCCGAGGACAACATAGTGAAACTCTGTCTCAAAAAAAAAAAAAAAAAAGAAAGAAAGAAAGAAAGAAAAAGGACAGATCAGGGAAGTAAAGCTTAAAACTTCTGTGGTAAGTCCACAATGAAGGACAAAAATTAAAATGTGCAGGGTGTGGGGCCTGAAGTGGATTCAGTGGGGCCTATAAGTCAGTGAGATGGAGGGAGGTGGAGAGATGGGAGGATGCTGAGGTCTTCCGTGAACGAGGTCGCTCCCTGAGATGTCTTCAGCAGGAAGAGAGCAGGACTGTCTTCCTAGACAGACCTTAAAGGCTGAAAAGCGGAGACTGGGAAAGGTGGACTCCAATCCTGGGCCCTGAAGAAAAGCAGCAAAAAACATCCCCACAAATCTCAGCTCATCACCACTGGTACTGCCCATTCACAGCCCAAGCAGGGGCTCAATGTGCATGGCCGGGGCCAGCCTGTCTCTCCTGGAGCAGCCAGTGTATAGAAATCTCCTCTTCCTTCTTGACACTTCCTGGAGACCCAGTTCTCGATGTTAAAGGAAGAGAAATGTCCCTTAACCTGAATTAGTTCACCAAATAACAGGACTGTAAATAAAGTGTGCTATTCCACAGAGCCGAACAGGCAACTTCTGTGGCCCTCCACGATTTTAAGAGAGCCCTCACAGGGGCACAGAAGAGACATTTTCTTATTTATTTATTTATTTTGGAGACTTGCTGTCACCCTGGGTGGAGTGCCAGGGAGTCATCATCATAGCTCAAGGCAACCTGAAACTCTTAAGCTTGAGCAATCCCCTTGCCTCAGCCTCCCAAGTAGCTGGGACTACAGGGGCCCACCAACTTTTTTTTCTATTGCTTTTGCTCAGGCTGGTCTAGAACTCCTGACCTCAAGCAATCCTCTCATCTTGGCTTCACAAAGTGCTAGGATTACAGGTGGGCACCACTGTGCCCAGCCTGAACCAGTATTTTCTGAGACTGGGAAAACCTACATACCACCATCAGCAGCAAAAGTATTTTTCACCTTCTTTGAAAGCATAAATGAAAAGCAAGAAGCGACTTTCGCTAACAAGAAGCCAAAAGAGGTGTAATTTCAACCCATGGCAGAAAGGAGAGGTTTTACTGCAAAGGTGAAATAGTTTGAGCTGAATGAATTAGGTAATTAGATTAATGGCAAACTTAAATTACCGAAACGTTTGTTGGCTTAATTTCATAATAGATTCTTTTAGTTTCGCAGCCTCGCACACATGAGGTATCTACAAACTCGTCTTAAACCTGCATCAGTAGCGCAGGCACAGACAGGACGGCTTTACAACACGGAAAACACTTGTCTAAGTAGTAGTAGACACAATCTCCTTCCAAATCTAAAGATCAGGTCATGGTAACCTGTAGGTCAAGCCTAGACCCTAGAAGAATTTATATATGACATGATACAGTTCAATTTCTGAGGCTCGACTGTGCCATCCGCTCAAACAAAAAGATAAAATTAAAGACCTACCGTGACAGCAAGAGTAACGGCGTCCAGCTCGACTTTGCCCAGATGACCACAGAATATGGAACTGACGAGGCTGATAAGAAAGATCATCAGCTGTGCAAGGAACTGCCGAGGGAAGAGAAAGGAAAGCGAGCTGACCCCAGCCCTCCCTGCTGCGCCCCCGCCACGGCGCGCCGGGACCAGGGCGCTGCAGGGCCGTCGGGGGGCGCAGGGAGCGCCGCACTCACCACGGGGCCCGCCAGAACCGCCAGCTCCACCGCCTCCCGCCGAAAGTTGGGGGGCAGCACGGCCCGCAGACACCGCAGGCCGCCCAGCCAACCGGGGGCTCGGGGCCGCTCGGGGGACTGCTCGAGGGCGGCGGCGCCCGGGCTGTCTGGGGCAGCGGCTGGGGGCTTGGCGTGAGCGACAGCGACCGCCGGGCTCTCCATGCTGGCGCCGGGAGGGGTTCGGCGGCTGGGACCTGAGCGCAAGGCGGAGGCGGTAGCGGAGGTGGAGGCGGAGGCGGCTGAGGCCTAGCTCCACCCGCCGACGGCCCCCAGGCCGCCCCCGCCCGCCCTTGCCCCCGCCCCAAGTGCACCCCCTCCAACCGACACCGCCCTCAGAAGCTGGGGGCGGTGCTCGGAGGGACCCGGGTGGCAGGAGAGGTGGGGTCTTCGGGGGTGGGGGCGGACGCCACGTGGGGGTCATTCTGGGATAACATGGGGATTTTTAGGTAAGAGGACTTTGTAGGTAAGAAAAGCAAAATGTGTTCAGGGTGGGCAGAGAGGACAGAGATGATCCCAAACGCCCCCTCCCGCCCCCCAGAGAGGACAGGAGATCCCAAACCTCCCCCGCCTCCCAGAGCACGCAGAGAGGATAGAAGTGGTCCCAACTCCTCCCCTGCCCGGCCCCCTAGAGAGGACAGAGGTGGTCCCAACCCCCCGCCGCCCCCCAGAGCATGCAGAGAGGACAGAGGTGATCCCAAATCTCCCGGGCACACCCCAGCACCCAGAGAGGACAGAGGTGATCCCAACCCCACCCCTGCCGCCTCCTAGAGCACGCAGAGAAGACAGAGGTGATCCCAAACCTCGCCCCCGCGCCCCAGAGCTCGCTGAGAGGATAGAGGTGGTCCCAACTCCCCCGCCCCGCCCCCCAGAGAGGACAGAGGTGGTCCCAACCCCCCTACCCCACAGAGAACATAGAGGTGGTCCCAACCTCCCTCCCACCCCACAGAGAACATAGAGGTGGTC